TAATATAATGAAAACAAACATTGAATTATTGCATATTTCTTTTTCATTATTCGTAATAAAATGACGTAAATGATTATTATTTTTACAAAGGAATTTAAATTATGAATTTCTTAGAAATTAAAAAAAATCGCATTTCATAGAAAAGGTGGATTCCCAATGATCTATATCCAACTTGGCGGCTATGACTCCGGATAGTACGTCGTAAGAACTCAATCGCACAACAAAAATAGGAAATGCTACAACATGATATTTTATATGGGTTATGTGGCCAGAACTCCCTTTTGTTTTTGGCAGAGATCGGTTAATATTGAGTTTTTCAACTTTACATTCCCAGTAATAAACACCTAGATTTATATGAGGGCGACTCAGCAGTGAATGTGGTAGAGCAAACTTTGTAAAATGTTTTTGAATTATATCTACACTAGATATATGGGAGTTGTAGTAGGGTTCCCAATGTTAACAGTACACTCAACAGGACTTGTTGACCTATAATACCAAATTTATTGATGTATGTACTCGGATATGGGAGTGATACGTAAATATTTACAGGGGTCTACCTATTCTGATATGGTTTAGTATTACCATTACCGGACTAGAGAAAGGAAACATCCTGTTGATCGTTTTCAAAATTAACCATGAAGTTCCGGTAATGGTCAAGGACGATGCCTACAATTTTTGGTGATAATCTAGACTAATAAAGGAGCAAAGTGATCGACTAACTGATTGATTAAACGAAGACGCCCAGACGAAACGGTTGAAGCTAGAATCTTGTTGGGTAAGGGTCACTCTTGGTCTAAAGGTGACAGATAAGGCTGGGTTTTTGGAAACTTGAACGGTACGAAAAGTACTAAATTGTACTAAATTTGGTACAATTCGAATTTAGGTGAAACAATAGAGCTAGAATCATGAAATTTGGAGTCAGGATCACTGTTGAGGTGTAAGATTGAGATACTCCAATTGGTAAATTTGGTACAATTGGAATTGTGGTTGAACCAATTGAATGGGAATACTGATACTTATTATAGGATCCCTGTGGGGGTGTATGTTTGGGTTAAGTTGTACATTATGGAAATTCCTACTACTGTGTACTAATTTTGGTACAATTTAAATCGTGGGTGAAGCGATAGAGTTGGAATCCTGAAACTTGGGTTAAGGATCACTGTTGAGGTGTACGATTGAGATATGTAGGAAGTTTTACAAATTTGTACTAAATTTTGGTACAATTTGATTTTTGGTTGAACCAATAGAGCTAATATCATGAAATTTGGAGTCAGGGTCACTGTTGAGGTGTAAGATTGAGATATGTAGGAAGTTTTAGAAATTTGTACTAAATTTGGTATAATTTGAATTGTGGGTAAACCAATTGAATTGGAATCCTGAAACTTGGATTTACGATCACTGTGGGGGTGTATGTTTGAGTTATGTAGGGAGTTTCGGAAATTTGTACTACTGTGTACTAAATTTAATATTATTTGGATTTGGTTGAACGGATAAATCTGGAATCTTGAAATTAGGGAAATAAGCTTTTCGTTAGATTTTGTGAAAAATAACATAATATGTTAATAAATGTTTCAATTATTCCCACAATCGCTAACAAAGTAACAGGCATATGCTATATGATAAAAATGATATATATATATAAAAATGAAGATAAAATTAATGTGACAACAAAATGAACACATTTTGGTTATGTCGAATATCACCAAAGATAGTTTTCAATTATATATATATATATATATATATATTAAAAAATTTTTTTCCAATGGTTTTTTGTCTGCGGTTGCTTTTTTAGCATTGCCTTATAATTAAAATTTATCTAATTCATGATTTAAATAGGATTGCATGATGTTGGTAGCAATGGAATTTTATACTTATGTGTTCTAAGTGGTACTAAATGTGTTACAAATTAGATTTAGGTAAACCGATAGAATCCTGAAATTTCATTGTTAAAGTAGGTAGTTGTGGAAATTTATATTAATGTGTACTAACTGATACTCTATTTTGATTTATGTGAAGCTACATTTGGTTTTTTTAGATATAGAGGTAGATTTGGAAAACGTACTATAGGAGAACATATGTGCTAAATGGTTTTAAAATTTTTATAATATTTTAATAAGTTTTAAATACAGCCCACATTCGTTAACAAAGTAGCGGGTATATGCTAGTATCAAAATGAAAACTAGTCGTTATTTTTTCCTCACCATCGCAAACTACACACAATAATTTCCTCTACATATCAATTATTGACACTATCGATGCTTAATATCGAAGATACTTAGCGTTGATATCGCATTTCAAAACATTTACAATTATATATTCCATTTTTATGTTGTGATTTCACTTACGTGCAGGTTGATGCAGGTAAGAAATTTAAGATATCTGCACATTTGACTTACCTGCACAGAAATAATTGCAAGTGTTGCTTGTGCAGCTATTAAGGATCATTAACCCAGGATTAAGGCTTAATCCGGACTAAAGGTCATAGACCCCGGATTAAAGGTCATTGAACCCGGATTAAGGCTTAATCCGGATTAAGGATCATTGACCCCGGATTAAGGCTTAATCCGGATTAAGGGACATTGTCCCTTGATCAAGTCTTAATCCGGGTTAAGGGTCATTGACCCCGGATTAAGTGTCATTGACACCGGATTAAGGCTTAATCCGGATTAAAGGTCATTCACCCGGATTAAGGGTCATTGAACCGGATTAAAGGAAATTCGAATTTAGGTATACAAATACAGTAAAAACTCGCTAATCCGGATAATTGATTGCAGACCCCAATCCGGATTACCGAGATTTCCGGATTATCGAGTTTTATTAATTGGTTTAAATTTATATTAATTTGTTGATAATTCAAGTATTTTTATGTTTTTATTAAAAATGAAAATTATTCATTTCAAAAATATGAACTTTGAATATAATAGGTACCATTTTCAATTAAATTTGCAACGATTTTTTTATTAAAATAAAAAGTAACGTATCTTTACAATCCGGATTTTTGAGTCAAATAGTCCAATCAATCCGGATTATAGGATACGCAATGGGTTGTGAAATGCAGTCCGGATTACCGAATAATCCGGATTGTCGAGGTCCGGATTATCAAGTTTATACTGTAGTACTAAATGCACTAAATTTAGAACAATTTGGATTTTGGTAACGGAGAGAACTGGAAACCTAAAAATTGATATTAACTGGTACCAAATTTTGTGAAATTGGAAGTATGATGTATGGAGGTAGTCTCGTAAATGTGTACTTGTGTCTTCGAAAAGTGCTGAAAGGAACCAAATGTGGACCATGTAGGTATTTGCTAAAATATATAATTGAAATTCAGATCAATTTTGAATCTGTATAATGGATATCAGATGTATAAACTTGATAGTTTAATTCGGAATTATAATACAACAAATTATACAGTATTCACGATTTCCATATAAAATATTATTTATTTGTTTTTTTATTCACATTTCGGCATACGAAGTAGCGGGCACTTTGCTAGTCAGTTTAATAAATATGTATGTAATTTTCCGACCTGTCGATTATAATTAATTGCAGATATTCGAGCATGAGTTCAAACTGACCGCAAGCTCGAATATCTCTTATTTATTGATAATAAGTTTTGTCTGGTTTTCTAGTCGGTCTAGAGGCAACTATTGTAATCGAACTTCAAAATTGTTTACTTGGGGAAAATATTATTCAGAAAAAATATACTAGGGTAAGAAAGATGAACAGTTGACTTCTTATCGGTCAAGCGGGTGCAAATATCGTGAAATATTGCACAGTCTAGTCTATTGTTCCGCAGAAAGTTAAAGTCCTGTCTTAGTTGCATAGGATATCATATAGTCGGATCCGTCCGATTATACTGCTTCGCTCATTGGTTTTATTCGAAATGACAATTAGGCATTCTCGAGAAAAGTACATGTTTTCGGGTGAACAAAGATTTGTTTCCGTTTTTTATTATCCATGCACTACCGACAATGGTTCTGGTAAAATGTCAATGCGTTGAAATTCCTTTTCCAATATTTCACCCTGAGTAATGACGTTAATATTCGTTTCCTATGTTTTGCTAGAACTATAAAAAATACATATTATGGGCGGGACATCTATTTCAGAGATACGTCATGAACCTGTATTGAATATTTTCTGATTTTATGTATTTTTCTTACACAATTCGACATGCCATATTTATCTGTCGTTAATTCAATTTCCCCCTACAATGTTTTAATTTAAAGCACAATGCCAACCCAAATTTGTAAAAAATATCAATCTTCTATCTTTAGTCTGTGGGTATTTTTCGTCCTTATTTTATTGAACCGTAAACTAAATATCACAAGACGATGTTTTTTTTATCTTCTTAAAAATTCATAAAATGTCGCCCATTAGATTTTTGATAGGGTCCTAAGAAATCGAAAATCGTATGTTCCAATGTCCAGGGATAATGTTAACGTACACGTTTGATATTGGTATTTCGTTGAAGTGGTAAAATCTACACGGAATGGCGGAAAAATTACATAGTAACTCATAAATTAAGAACGGCTGGAACGATTTGATTCAAAATTTTGTTTCGGGACATATTCTTGGTTGAAAATATTGTCCTGGAGTGTTGCTTTACGAACTGTCCAACCTTATTACTTTTAACATATAATTTATTTGATATTGTTAAAAATTTTCGAAGGACACCAATCATTTTATGTTAATTAACTTTTGATATTATTTTCCAAAATGTTGTTACCATCCTTCCCATCTTTTTGGCCGAATATTTCATTTCGTTAATTTCAATATAAATCCCGATGTATTATTGCGTTATTTAATTGCTTCATTTTTAATTTTGCTTTGGAAATCTTGAGAACGACTAGAATCCTTGATCCATATTTTAAAAATTTAATAAACACTCTTTTAATTTATTAAATATGTATATATATTTTTAAATAATTATTACACTTATTTTCACTACGCACAAAAAATAATTTATAACATAAATGAACACAGAACACAACACATTTAATATTTAAGGACATATCTGATGTCTGTTACAGCACTCTGGATAGGGGGCATCAATATTGATGTAGTCACCAAAAGAGCAATTTGGCATGGGAGCCTTGTAATTACAACTGAAATAGATACACACAATTACAATATGTTTTTGTATAAATATTTAAATTATTATCCTACCCCTGAATCCTGCCGAAGCCATTTTTGTTATCGCACAGGAATAGCATGCATTGTCCTTTGGGTTTACCCTGTTCACCGGGCAATAAAAATAATCCTTCATGTACACAACGGCCAGGATGATCTGAAATTCAATTTCAAATAAAATTAATAATTTTATTTTGTTTTTTTTTTTTTTTTATAAAACCAACCCACCTGAATCTTTAAAGAATCCTCTGGCCTCGTCACACAATACCATAGCCACAAACAAGGAGGCCACAAGGAAGAGAACACCACAAACTGGGAATTTCATGTTTATTTGTGAATGGATGAAACGGAACTAAATTTAGAAGGCGTTGTTATTTTACTATGAGCTATGACTTTGATAAATAAAAATACGCACATATTTTATTTCGTTTATATTTATTTCAATTTCCTTTCGTAGCCAATCAAAGCAAGTTTGTGTGTGTGTGTTTTTTTTTCTGCCGATCTCAAATCACTATCTCTGTTATCGCCTCTGAATGTCTGACGTAAACGTTGAAGCGTAATTAAAATCCATCAATCATTTGAATAAATAAATGCAACATTTAATCTTACCTACTTATGATCCGTCGTTTGGGTGGTCGGGCGACTGATCCGTCTGTCGTTGTCCTCAAATGTCCCCGGCAAAGGAATTTCAAAGAAGAAGAAATCGTTTCTAAGAACCGCAAAACACTGATAATAAAATATGTTGGTACCGCTTACAAAACATAAGAGAAGTGCATTCATATCAGCCGAGCTCAGCCAAAAGGTCTTATCATATGGGCCTTTAAGAAGCCGAACAACAATATTGTGACTCTTATCGTATCTGCTCGCCGAGGTTGTTTACTTCGTTTATTAATGAACGTGATATTGGCGCCATTGATCTATGCTCTGCTGATTGTCCCTGCGTTTGTTTTCGTTTCAGATTCGGCAAAAAATGTTGTTTTTGGAAATTATTTAAATGCGTATAGGAAAATTCTATTGTGCCAACTCATCCTATTAGTCATTTAGTTTGAAATTCTCAGCTAGTTTAATCATGTTGACAAATTCCAAAAAAATAAACAATGACGAAGGGAAACCCCATTAATAGTTTGTTTTTAAAATCAATTTAGCTCATGAATTACGATGACCTTTAAGACGTGTATTCGAAACAAAATATTTTGACTCAATTGTCTGCTGTAATCGTTTCATTGATTCCATCACATTGAAAGTACAGTGTACTATAAAAGTCTTTGCATTTTTTTTGGTACTTGAATGTTGAGTATTTATACTCTTCAAAACACTTTCTTTGGCTATGTTCATATGGTTTCTTTTGAGAATATGCATAGAATCACTTTCAGAGTCGATTTATTCCTATCCGTCCGCCTGTCTGTCTATGTTAAATTTTAAACAAAGTACAGGTCGCATTTATGATTCGAATGAAATGAAATTTGGCACAGCATAAATATGTGGCCGAGGACGAAACCCAAAGGACAATTGGAGAAAACCGGTTCATATTCAAAATGTAGCTCCCATATATAGGTTTGTCAGATTCCACAATATTTGTCCTATTGAGCCAAAATTTTATACATTGAATTAAGTACTCATTGCAGTTTAAGAAGTTTTGAATTAATCGGTTAGATAGAGATATAGCTCCCAACTTCATTTTCGTACGCTTTTATGTAAATGGTGCACCAATCCTCGATTGAGATCAATTTTAAAATAGCGTTATGAAGTAAGCCTAGAATGATGAGGTGTTGAGTTGCGTAGAGTACTACTTACTTAGCAAGTTCCACAGTTAGTTCAAGTCTACTGGACGTATTGTGCGTTGATACCATCAGCTTGGTCTTGAAAGGTGGCTGTTGTCAGCGAACATATGAACATATGCTGTTTGGTGTACAGAGCGTCATTTCGGTTCACATTTGCATCTCTTATGACCTTTCCAGCAGAATTTTAAAAAGGTCACACGACAAACTGTCACCTTGTTTGAATCTTCTTTCGGTATTGAAGGGCTCCGAGAGGTCCTTTCCGACTTTGGCTGCTGACCTTGTGCCAGTTAACGTTATGCTGCGTAGCCGTATTAATTTTGCATGAATGCAGAACAGAGACTTGGCTTTAAAAACCTCTAAAGGATTGGAAAGTGTCGATGTGTTTTTCTTGGGTCGTTTCCTGGATTTAGCGCTGTGTGGAAATCTAGTCTATAGTGAATTGGCTAAGTCTGAAGCCGCATGATAAGATCTAATATTATCGTTGACCAATGGCTCCAGTCGTTCACACAGCAGGCTGGATAGCACTTTATATGCGATGGGAAGGAGACTAATTCCTCTATAGTTGGCACATATCATATTATCTCCTTTTTTGGGCACGGGACACAGGATGTTGATGTACCAATCACTGGACATGTACTCCTCTAGCCAAATTGTACTAATTATTTGGTGCATGCTTGTGATCGGCCTTAAATAGTTCAGCTGGTAATCCATCGGTACCTGCTGCTTTATGATTCTTCAGTCGATTAATTTCTATGTGTTTTTCTTGGGTCGTTTCCGGGATTTAGCGCTGTGTGGAAATCTAGTCTATAGTGAATTGGCTAAGTCTGAAGCCGCATGATAAGATCTAATATTATCGTTGACCAATGGCTCCAGTCGTTCAAACAGCACGCTGAATAGCACTTTATATGCGATGGGAAGGAGACTAATTCCTCTATAGTTGGCACATATCATATTATCTCCTTTTTTGGGCACGGGACACAGGATGTTGATCTACCAATCACTGGACATGTACTCCTCTAGCCAAATTGTACTAATAATTTGGTGCATGCTTGTGATCGGCCTTAAATAGTTCAGCTGGTAATCCATCGGTACCTGCTGCTTTATGATTCTTCAGTCGATTAATTTCTATTCTGACCTGATCAGGGCTAGGTGGTATACAATATATACCTTCATCTCTAATTGGTTCTGGGGTATATTTATCAGGTTAAATATAGATCCAATATTTAGTTTCGTCCGATTTTATGTAAATGGTGCCCTAATATTTCTTTTGATTGAATTTGCTTAAATTGGTTCGGATTTAGATATAGTTACCATATAGTGCTTTGTCCGCTTTTTATTTAAATTGTGCACTAAATTCCCAATGTTTGTCCGATTAAGACGAAATTTGCATATCATACCGCAGTGAGTCTATAATAATGTGTGCAAAGTTTCGTTGAAATCGGTTTAGATTTAGATTTACCAACATTGCTGACACCTCTTGCCTCACTTCGAGGGTAGTTTTTTCGTTTTTTCGACCAATTGAAGGCTTTTACTGATTACATCAAATAATCTGCCGACTTGTTATTCCATACAACGTTCATTCATCCAAATTATATGGAAAATTATTGTCGCCTCAGTTGGAATCTAACCGACATTTTATGGTTTATGTGGAATATAAAAAAAATTATGCAAGGGCTGTTGTGAGGTTCACTTCAGAATATAGTCGTTTATTGGAAGGAAGTCTTATCTTATGTGACCTTGAAATTGTAAACTACAACTACTTCGTTTTGTTCTTGATAAACTATTTTTTCGAAGAATTAGTTTATCGTCCCAGGGACCGGAATTTAGGACCATTATTTAACCTAAAAGAGTCCTAACCCTTATATGGATGCGTACAAAGCGTGGAGCTAAAAACAAAATTTCTTGCGAGAATAATTATTATTATTCCAGAACATCACAGCCTTCTCAGCAAAAAAAAAAAAAAAAAAAACTAAAAAGGGGGCGGGATCCCTATATAAGGCCTGTTATAAAAAATAGATCGGAAAATTTCAATGTCAAACGAGGAATGTCAGTATGAATTACAAAACACTGATCTGAAATTAAATATAGACAAATCAAAATACCTGAAAAGGGTCGGCAGTCTACCAATCAGCCAATTAAGAAAACCCCTAGAACCTAAAATAGATGGTCATACAAAGATATAAATTTAAAAATGTCTGCAATCAAATGTTGTATCAGAACTAATATTCTATTATTTGCAGCATTGCCCGACGATTTCGTGTTCATTTTCTTATATTTTCCTCGAACAAATAAAAATTTAATCTATTGAATTTATCTAAAACTTGATTGTCTCCTCATACTTTGATTTGATTCAATCTCAATCATGGACACGCTTTCGACAGAATTGCCTGTAATTCGGTATTTACTATTATCATTGGGTGTCAAATATCACTACCAAAAATTATGTATATTGACCCAAGTTTCGGGTTAGCCACCGTATAACGGTACTTATCTAAATCAGATAATAATAATACACATCTTTCTTATCTCAATTCAATAACGTCTCAGTCTGAAAAAACAGTTGCACTTTGGTGGACCATTTATATAAAATCAGACAAATGCATATATGGGAATTTTTACGGACATGAATCTGGAGTAATTTTGTACGCCGTGCAAACTGTCGACAAACTCTGGTAGTTTGGTCCTCCATTTATACAACGTCGGATGAAAATATAATATATATGGGAGCTATCTTAATCTGAACCGTTTTAAACAAAACTTCGCATATATCTATCTAAATCGAATTCAGTACGCTATACAACATTTCGACTCAATCGAATAAACTTTGGGAGTTTGGTGCAATTTCAATTGAATTCGCGCTTGGGCCAAATAAGTGAGCCAAATTTAATGTTATTCCGATCGTAAATGCGAACAGTACTTTGTTTACAAGAATACATGGACAGACGGAAGGGCATGCATAAATCGACTCAGGTAGTGATTCTATATATATATTCTCAAAAGAATATAAGAGCCATGTATCTATTCAGTTTCCTTTTGCCTGTTACAACATATGCCCAGAGACATAATACGCTGTACCACAGTATGCTGGGGAGGAGTATAAACATTTTTGCAAATTAGTTTTCTTTATTTCAATGGTCAAATATATATGTGTGCAAGATTACAAACCTTTACAAGCATTGGTATTAATTTTCCTACCAATTGAAAATCCTGAAAATTTTAAATCGAGAATTGGGTGTTCCCTTATATAGTCATATTTTCAATATTATCTCCTGCGACCCTGGAATCTCACACACACATACCCGTTAAGAGTCTGGAAAATGCCAAATAGGCTGGAAAATTCGCCTAGTACATAATATCTAAAAAGGTATAGGATCTATTACAAAACGTGGACCTTATCATCCAAGAACACCGAATGAAAATTGCAGTCCCTCATTTTAAATATCTGTTGTGAAACATGGACCAATATTGAAAATAAAATACGAATAAGTTTTCCATTAAAATTCAAAGGCAATCAACAACATACCTAAAATCAGTAAATCGGTTGTGTCATAACATCTACTTATATAGGATGTTCTTAATAATATATTTCCTTTCAAGATTCCGGAATTACTAGACATGAATAGAAAAAATTCCA